AATAAAGTCTCCACAAACATAGGATGGAAACTTTTGCACAGACCTAACACATAAATTGTACTATTATTACACTACTTTTTGAAAGTAGTCTGATTACGAATTCAATAACAAAATTATTACCAATTTGTAATATAAATTGAACGCAATGTTTCATCCAGTGAATATCAACGTTACAATCATTGCGAACATATTACATACACGTAATTAAAAGATAAATCTTTTTAACACCTGAAGAATACTAAAACTGTAGAGAGTACCTAAGCAAATATAGGAAGGTAGGGCTAAAGTATGTACGCCGGTTAATTAAACAGCATCGCCCGCATGCTTACTTAATTCAATCGAAATAATCTACGCAACGAAAGATAACCGTGCTAAGCTGTGTAGAGTTGAGTAATTGGAGGCGTGTACGAAATTAGCCCTGCAAATTTTGTCTAATTAAAGACCGCTAGTACATGGCGGTACCACTACTTGGTGCACGCCGTATTAAGTCCGATTCAAAACGTTGCGCCACCACTTCGCGGAGTGATTTATGCCCGAACTTGATGCTAATTACACACATACACATCCCTCCTACCTTCGGATATTATAGCAATCGACTGTTTCCACGGTGCTAAAATAAAACACTACAAATAAACGGAGGAGTTTTCTAAAAAAAAAAAGGGCGCGTAGGGCTGAACAGCGAATCGAGTAAATTGCAGCGGAAGTTTTAGTTTAACCTGCAGATCACATTCGGAGGGAAGATTTCTTAATATATTGCGGTTAATCGAAAAGGATTAACCAAAAAAGGACCAATGGCCGGGAAAGCTTCTGAATTGTAGTAAAACATTTTCTTCTACGGTCAACAATGACGGATTTGTGGATTTTATTTTATGAATGTGTTGCGAATGATGGCGTGAATGCCGTGTGTTTGTCTTGTATATACACTACCGGCGAAAAGTTTGGAATCACCGAGCATTGCAATTTACACAAAAAAATTTCCAGAAAAAAGGCAGCGACTTTGAGAATTTTTTATCATTAGAGTCAATTGATATGAGACAAATTGATAAATGTAGAATTGAGATAAACTTCAAATCTATGAAAAATTAGCAGCAGATTTAATATCGATGAAAAGTGGGAGATGATTCCAAACTTTTGGCCGGTAGTGTAGGTGGACATTCTGGGAGTCGGTGTGATCTATGGCCGATGCTCGAAAAGGTTTGCGATTGGCGAAGCGGGCAGTGAGTTAGCTGGGATAGGAGAGTAAACAGTAGAGCAGCGTGGTTGATGAAAACAACAAGAGAGTGAGAATAAGTGAGATATAATAAGAGCACTATTCAGCTGATCAATATTCCCATTAATGCATTGTTATCTTCGTTCTGCAATTGTCCTTATTGAATACACATGTGTTAAAAAAAACTCCAACCACGTGTTATTTACCCACAGGATTTTACAAGGCGAATTAAAGAGTCTTTTACTTTTAGACGACCCAAAAGTAGTTGTCCTTCGACAAATTTTTGGGAGAAACCTAGCAGAGCTATCGAAGTGAAATTGGGAACGATTATTATTCGTATCTTGCACAGTGCGTTTAAATTTTTTGGCGGTGAAATACAGTGTAGCTTTTGTGTGACGCGTACCGGAAGTGACCCTTGCACGAAAAGAAGAAGGGCTTTTTGTGTGCAAGATTTCTGGGCTCCGGCAAGTGTGAAACAAAAATGCCGCGAGGGACTGGTTATGTAATACTTGAGGTTGGGTATCATCCACTTTGGTCGGAAAATACCAAAGCATAACAAAATGGCGGCACGTCAAAGTCGCGTTTCAAGTAATTTCGAGAAAAACGCGTTTGAAGTTTGTAGAAGGATCACTCTTAACACATTGAGCGCCGGCGACCTAAGAGACATTTAAAGCCTGAGCACCGGCAACGTATCGGCCACTTAAAGCCCAAACGCCGGCCTCGTTCGCTTGTTTCTGATCAATGAGTAGCCAAAAAAAATATTCAAAACATTATACATTTTCGTAAAATAGTACATACACCCATACCAGCAGAAAAAATTCCACATCATCGTGGGGCCGGCGCTCAAGCGATAGACCCAGAAATCCGCATTATCGTGGGGCCAGCGCTCAAGCGATAGACTCAGAATCCCGCGTTTTCACGGGGCCGGTGCTCAAGCGATAGACTCAGAATCCCGCGTTTTCACGGGGCCGGCGCTCAATGTGTTAATACCTATATACTGGAATCTTGCCGGGATCCTAGACAAATCCCCGTCGCTCGTATGTCAAATCCCTTCGAATGTCAAAGAATCCTTTCAGGGATATACATGCGTATTTTCAAAGGTTCAAGAAGGTACCAAAAATCGCAAAAGGTTTCTGAATTTTACAGGGAAAAAAGATGCTATATTACATTATACGTTACAAATTTCACTATAGTATCATTTCATCAAATTTTTCTTTAACGCAATGAAAATTTGATGTAAAATTCTTTTCTACTCTTTTGCTTAGAATGTATGTAAAAATTGAAAAATATGTATTCTTCTCAGAGTTTCAAATATTTATTCCAAGATTCAAATGTATAATTTTTTATACAGGGTGTCCCAGTATTGATGGTACAACCGTGTAGGGGGTGATTCTAAATATGAAATAAAGTTTTTTCATTCGAGGCTTCGTTTTCGAGAAAATCGACTTTTCTTCGAGTACGCATGCATCCAACTATGTCGTGGATGAACGGATTTTTACGGTGCAATCTGTGATCATTTGTGTACCGAGGTACGAGGTTTCGTGGCTCTCTTTTACAGCTGGTGAAGTAGGGGTGTTTACAGCGACAGAGAAGAGACGAATAGAAGCGAGGAATGATCCAGTACCTGGTGACAAAGGACATCACCGCAAGGACCTCGAATGATTTTCGCAAGGATTTCGAATAATTTTTGCAAGGTCCTTGAACGATCTTTGAAGCGAGGTCCTTTGTCTTCAGGTATTGGATCGCTGTTCGTTTTCTAATTTTGTCCATTTCTACTCCATCTACTGCAGATACCTCTACTTCACTAGCTCTGAAAGGAAGAAAAATGACGACAGAGACACGAAACTGTATACATTAGTACACAATTAATTACATACTATTCGGTGAAAATTACAAGCACTTAGCTGCAATCCTTCATACTTAGGCCGTGAACTTTTCAATCCACCCTAGTAGATCAATATCTCCAACGAACCTTTAAATTTGATTTACAAAAAACGTAAGACCCTTCTCATTTCACAAATTTCTCCTATCTTTTTCGGTAAGACCATTATGTAGTCGCTATAGAATTTCTAATTACTTAAACAAATGCTTTTTTATCCTTTATGTGATTTAATTCCCCATTCCAAAATATAAAATAAAAAGAGAGTTTTTTCCTACATGTTCTAATTCTCAGGTATTCTAGAAAGTATGTTTTCAACCCCCAACTTTGGGGGCTCTTTTCACACCTTTAACCCTTCGAGTGCTCCCTAAACTGTAGTAGAAAAGTGGAAGCTTCTTCTATGACTTAAATTACTTGTGAATAATGTGGAAATGTTTTTATGCTTTCTTATCTAATATTCAATAATTTCAACAAACTATGAATACTCTCATTTCCTGATCTTCACAATGTTATATCCTATCTGAACCTCTTCCAAAGTAAATTTCAAGTATTCTCAGACGTACGGACTGAACACTCAAAGGAATATTATGGAAATATTTTTATCAAATTACACAAAATATTCTCCCGGGAACTATCTTCCATATAAGTTTCATCGAATCGGTATGTGTGGGTTCGATATATTCCCTTGTAAAGTAAACTGTATCCTTTAAACAGTCGGAGGTAGACACGATGATACACTTTTCTGCGTTGATAGAAAACTTAATATTGAAATAACATTTCGACTAATATTTTCAGAACATAAGTATCTTAACACTTTTTTGTAAAGAGCGAACGAATACTTTGAAATTCAAAAATGCAGGATTTCATTTTAAAAGTGTTACAATTGTCCTTATGCTGCAGAAAAGTGTACAAAAATAATATAGGTATGTTACATACACCTAATATCATTTAATTTGGTTTCATGCCATTTTTGCGTATTTACAACCGTTTGAAATAAACTGGAAAATAAAGAGATGTAAACGAACCGAACGAATGCCGAAAATGAACGGTACATTACAAAGCCAAGTACCAATTAGCGAGGAACGTTCTTAAAGCTTTTAAGTCACTCAACGTGATTCATAACAAAGTTCATTTATCCAGCTTTTATACAGTTTTACAGTAATTTTAAAATTACTGTTACTTCTAAAATGTTAGTATTGAGAAAAGACACTTAACTATTACGTAAAATGACACTGTGATACAATAGTGGGTATATTCACTTTCAAGCGGTGTATAAACCGCCATAGTCAGTGCTAAATATCATAATTTGATAGAGTGTACTTAAGCAGTTAATAAAGGAACTATCACATGACACAACTACATATAAAATACATAACTATGGACACATGCAAACGAAGTATCAATACAGGAAGACAGTTTTCAATTCGTTAAATACTAAAATGCAACTGATGTAACTATTAGAAGAAACTGTTTTAAAGAATTGTCAAAGTAGTCGCTATGTCTGGTTTGTAATTTCTTACAAAAATTATTTAAATCCATGATGATGCTGTTTCGAAAATTTTCATCGACCTTTTTACGAAAAGTATGTTGTATTTTGCTTATGTAGTAGATTATCCCATAAGTTTGTGTCGAAAGCGATAAATTCTTTAATGAAAGTCCAAGGAAATTCTGTAGACAAAAAAAAAAAAAAAATAGGAAAAGTTGTGGAATGAGAAGACGCTTACTTTTCTTCTTCTTAAATTTAAAGATTCGTTGGAAATGTCGATCTAAATCATAAAATTCGACACGAGCTTGTCGGATGGCCTAATATAGCATATCCACTGTTCTGGAAAATATGGAAATATGCTAATTCTTGATAGCTCCAATGTTAATCCCGAACAACTTGCTAAATGAATATATCCTTAAACTTACCTCTCGTGATCATGGTTGTAAGACGGATTGATTCTACGCGCGTACAACGAAGCACCGCCCTCGGACATATAACCGTCGCACAAGTCGGATAAAGTTCTGTTTCCGACGGTCATACCACTACGAAGAACCTCTCCGTCGCTGAGATAACCGGAGGCGACGTCGATATCCGCGTAATCGTGACCGACATGATGATGAGAAGAAGAATGAAGAATCGTATACTGTCGCGCGGTTGTTCTACTCGGCAAGGTCTGAAGGGCTCTTGCACCCGGTGTGTAGCCGCGAAGTAGAGGCTGCATCGGCTTCACTGTCATCTCGGCTTCGTCGTCAGCCATAGAGCCCCCTCCGCACGTTGAATTTTCAGATAAGACCTGCCGTGTAAGTGAAGATCGTTTTAACAGCAAATAATTGGAAGTCTTATCGATATGTATATACAATAACACGACGCAAGGTAAATGCTCTATTTACCCTCCGTAGGTACTATGGGTCATTGATGACCCGAGCGAAATTTCACTTTCGCATATCTTCGAAACGCATTTTTGTTTATATTAAGTGTTAAATATTTGACTCAACGAATAATTGTATAATACTGCAGAAACTTTGGCAAGTACGGGGAAGCGGGGTAATTCCGGCAACTTTAGTATCTCAAAATATAAAACGTGTCATTTTACTTTGTATGGTACTGCCACTTGGCAATGATACAACTGGCTAATATTCATCGTTTCTGTGACCATAGCAGCCTTTTATTTTAAACAATACGTGAATGTTCATTTTGCAACGAAACCTTGTAACAGTGGCCAATTTTCAAGTAAGGTAAACTAGTACTTGGAATCGACATAAATTATTAATATTAAACTTGGACTCGGTTTGCCTACGGAATGTGAAAACATATGTTCGCCTACGGAGGGTTAATATTTTGCCTTTTGCAGGCATTTTTTCTTATACATCTGTATGTACTTGTTATGTTAATAGAGACAAGCAGGCGATGAAGCGGAACGAAGATTGCAACTTTGTATTGACGCAAATGGTCACCACTTCGAACATCTCCAGTAATGTAAGAAAGTTTATTTTACTACCACACTTGACCTTGTATGACTTTCAATGATAGCTTGCTGAATTCGTCTCAACACCGGCTATCACATCGCGATAAGAAAAACATAGCATTCCATTTAAAAGTATAGAGATGACCTTGAAATCTCCTCTATACCCCCACCCACGCAAAAAATGTTTGCATCACAATATGTCCCCCTCTATACCGTGCAAGATTTATATATAACATTTTTTCATATTATTGCAAATAACGGAGATATTCAAGGTGGACATAGTTATTGCCCCACCCACTATGTAAATTTCAGATTTGCGCGACTTCCTTTTTCAGGTGTTGCAATTGTTTGTTGGCGAGCAGTGTATTATATGAACCTGTTAACCGAATTCACTTGTCAAACAGAAATCGAATCTCTCTAGTTTACAAATAAAACTGAACACAAATTATAACTAATTATTTCATTTTTCCAGATATTTAATCCAGGCAAAATTATACAATTAAAAGTAAACAATCCTTCAATAAGTAAACTATCATGTTCTAAGTATCGATGAACCAATGACGAGTTAACTCATCTTCCCCAGTTAAAAGGTTAAGGTTCGTCAGAAATAGACGTCAACTCGACGGTCGTAAAGTGCAATAACGCCTGTGCCGATAGGTCGACGGACGTCCTAATGTTTGTCCTCCGTCGTCGCCGTTACACGGACGTAAAATGTGATAGCTCCTGTAATTACTCGGTTAAGTTACAATGTTACACCGCAAGCTCCGTCGTTACGGTCCGTTATTTCAACGCTCGGGTGTCCTCAACTTTAAGCACTCGCAACACATCGATAGATGCCAAAACTAGAAACGCGAAATAGTCTCTGACTCTAAGATACAGTTGGTGGAAGATCTACAGCGCGGACGTAAAATCAGACAGGCGTGAAAGACTACGAAATCCGATTATTGGGCAAGATAAGGAGCTCGAGCCACGTTCAGAGCCGTACGATGTCAACTCGGTACCGTTTCTTTTATTGCAGTATATTTGTAGGAGCCGAGGAAATATTTGAGGGACCAAGCGGAAATGAAACCCGCGACTTCCGGCTGGCAAAACCGGGACACTATGCCTATAGCTAAGGCGCTCTCTTGATTTCTTCGCTGTTATTTGCTGCACCTTTTCATGTGTACGGAGGCCCTGATCCCACGTATTCGAAAAATTTTATTATCTACTGGGTGGTCTGTTGATAGAATTATTCACTATAATTTTTTGAAAAATGGAAAAACGATTACGGCAAACAAGTACTGCAATGAACTTAACGAAATACATCAAGAGATGTCAGTTGTTCGTCCAGTACTAGTCAACAGAAAGGGTTCAATTCTTTTGCATAATAGCACCCGACCGTACGTGTCGTTAATTGTAGTGTAAAAGTTAAATAACCTGGAATATTCTATTCTACGCTTCGTTCAAAATAAGAATAACCTCGTTCTCGGATCGATTCTCGTCCGTTCTGCGCATAGACAGAGACAGAGAGCGAAAAACGTAGGCGGTTAAGTGGGGGGTTTGGACGTTCTAGCCCTGCCTTAGGCACGTCCCATGCGCGAAACGAGGTTATTCTTATTTTGAACGAAGAGTAGTCCCTGGACCTTTCGCCAAGAGATTATCATCTGTTTAAACATTTTGACCATTTCAACAAGGAAAAAGCATTTCGAGATGAACGCGATATGGAACAGATCTTTGATTTTGTTGATCCCAGACCTCACAGCTTTTTGTAGATGGTATAAATAAATTAACGAAGCATTGGCAAAGGTGTATCGATTGTAACGGCTCTTATTTTCAATAAATAAGTTCACTTTTGACAGAGTTACGATTATTTCAATTCAGACGACGAAATCCGACAGATCTTTCCGAACGATCTAATATAAGAAACGTAGATCAATCGACGTTTTCGCTTAACATCGTGATTTACGACCGCGCTATACCTCTTCCACCAGCTATAATTAACTCGCTATAATAACACCTACGAAGCTACTAACCTTGTCCATCTGTTCGAAGGTCGTGTCAATTTTTCTATTAGGTATAGTTTTGATCTCGCTGCCGCTCTCGCTGCTTGGTCTATAAATAACGCTACTGTCGCTGGAATTGCTCTGGCCAGTGCTGTTCGAATTACTATGCGAGCTCTCGGACATTAGATCTGAGATACTTGGCATCGGTGACACCATTGCGACCGTGTTCGGATCAAGCTTACGATGCAAAGCGTCCGCCTTCAATTTCGTTGGCGTCGGTGCGCCCGGCATGTTGTTTTCCTTTGGCGGTTTCGAGGTGCCTTTCACCAAAGCCGTCGGTTTTGGAATGCTGGAACCTGGACTTCCGGAAGCACTCAAAGTTGAGCCTTGCAGTGGACTACCCAGCACCGGAAGCTGCTTATTCACCCCGAAATTCGGGGCGTTCGAAACTTGTCCCTGAGGAGGATTTACAGTATTTACATAAGTTGTCGCGAGACCTATCGGTCCCTCTTCGATATTTGTCATTTTTGTGTCCGTCATTGTTTCTGAACTGCAACGAGGAGAAGGTGGCGGTGTTTGCTTTCCATTTGTCTGTTCTATCTCGTGCACTTCATTCGGAACTTTAGCTTTCACAGATAAACCCGTGTTCTGCTGCTTGGATGGGCTATTAACGTTCTCCACCACGGTTTCCGGTTGATCAATCGACGCTGCTATACTCTCTACGATATCTTTCTGCTTCTCCATCGTCGGCTTCTGGATAGACAGATTCGCCTGATTCATGCACAACGTATGATTGATCGTCGAACTATTTTCGTCGATGATAACGATCTCGTCCTGATCAGGTTGCTTCATCATTCCGTTTGTGTTGCTCAATAATCCCCTTTGCACCAACTCTTTGTTTAGCCCGTTCGGCGGAACTTTCATATTCTGCAGCTGAATCTTCGCGTCGGGTATCTTGCCTGGTAGCTCCATCTTCGGTCTAGCCGACTGCTTCGACGGTTCATTCTTCAAGCTACCGAAGTTCTTAATGTCTTGCGAAGATATTTGCTTAGGGGACATCAACATCGAAGGGTTCGGTTTCTGCAACTGGCTGGCCTGTTGTTGCTTCAACAAATCTTGTAAATTGGAGGACTTTTTGTCCGCGACCAGTTTCGTTCCCATTCCCCCGAGTTTCCCAATCGATTTGACATCGTCCAACGGTGAATTGTAACCGGCCAACTTGTCACACGTACCTTTCGTTCGCGCGATCTTACTTTGCGCCTTGTTTTGCTCTTTACGCGTGGTCTTCGGGCTCGCCTGTTTCGCCGACTTGGTGGATTGTAGCTTCGACTTTAGAGCGCGGCTTTTGGGCGACTCTAATTGCACCTTGCTCTGATCGCACAAGGACGTTGAGCTGTCGGAGTGTTCCGATCTCGCGGAGGAAAAGCCGGAGGAACTGGAGGTACGTTTGGACACGCCGGATGAAGCTTTGCCGCGTTCTTGATTTTTCTCCTTGTTATTGAAGAGCTTGAATTTGTCCAGAACAGAGTTCTTATTCTGCTGGATCGGCGCTCCGGCGGTAGTGTATGGAGAAGGTTGAGCGTTCCTCGGGCCGTTAGGTTTACCCACCGTCGATGCTCGAGGGCTGAAATGTTTGGCATCTGTTGATTACTTTATCCGTTATTGGAATTACGAATGCGTAACGTACGACAAAAGAGACGAGAAAAAACGAACGACGTCGGGGAGAGTTGCCTGACGCGTGTCTCATCAATTTCGTCCTTATTGAATATAAGCGAGATGACTTGCGAAGTTACATGTAATAAATAAGAAATGAGAAATATAAACGAACGATTCGTGAATTGTATTTTTACTTTTCTGCGTGCTATAAATCACACCTTAACACATTGTTGACCGGAAATTTTACGCACAAGCTATCTCGTGTCACCGGCTATTATTTCGTAATTGAACGTGGAAGTGCAACAATCTAAATAAACTTCAATAAACTTTATTTACACATAATGAATTGAAATGAAACTTTGGACGTATGTGTCTTTTATATAACTTTTAACAACAAAGGCGAAAATATATACAATAGAAATACATGTTGACAAATTCCATGGGTTGGGTGGCAGGTATACCGAGGACTAAACAAGTAGAATTGTGATAAAAACCTAAATACCAAGAAAAGTTTTTTTTTTTATAATAAAGCGGACATGACTAAACACGACGAGCAAAGCTTTTGCGATATTCTATATTGCCCTGCGATTCAAAAATTGAAATAGCTAATGCAAGTGCAAACACGAGTTAACTCATGACTGGTCAACAATGTGTTAATAGATTTGTATTGCTGATAATAATCTAACCACGTGGTATTATTCTTTTCTGTATTCTCATACAGGTAGGTTTATTCCAGAAAATTGTTTACATTTATTTTATATGCATATTGTGGTTATAGCGGATGTATATTCCGAGCAATTGATGACGGTGTGACGAATGAAACGTCTGAAGACTGCAATGCGTACACTCATAAAAATCTGTACACATATTTGATTGTTTCGACGTATTGAGCTCGCCAAAATGCAATTTCGTCGGAATACGGATCCACCGTAACCGATATTGATATAAAATGTGTCACATTTCTTGAACAATTAAAAATCACGTTCTATTATTATCCAAGGTATTATCCAAGAGATAAAAATTGGTTTATGAAAGTCGTAAAGGAGTACTAAAATTGATACCACCAACACTAAATGGCGAACAAACCAGCAAGTACTATTTTGTCACACCCTATCTTAGAATTGTGCTAATCAATAGTTTCACATTTAAACACAGAACCAGAAAATAATTACACAGTTAGTGCAACATTGCACTATTCATAACACACTCATAGTATGCCAATTTTATATAAAAATGCAATTTTCCATTCTCGACACAGATATTCAGAAACGAAAATAGATTCCACGAGATAAATTCGATCAGACTGATGATTAAATATTTATATTCAACTAGAGATTTTACTTTTAACTACTAGATTGTACCAACGCAACTTTAAAGTCACTACACACAAGCCAGCGCTTAAGTTTTTGTAAATTTCCATCTATTTCATCTCGATTATGCGATAGTAATTTGTGACAGAGATGATGCATCGGTATTTCGCTGTGCCATGCGCTACAAGTGAAAGAAAAATTTGCAACTCTTCGCTAACTATCTAGGATCTTAGATACCTAAGATATTTAAGGTTATCATCATCATAATTATGCGTTGTTCGGTAATTATTATATGTTAAGCACAACAGACCCCCGTATAAATTCACACAAGGGATACATTCTGTATTATACAGAATGACAAGCAAATAGATGACTTTGGTATTCTCCTAAGGATGAAGAAAGATCCTATAGGCACAGATCCGATAACTCTTCTTTCCCGAGATATCGACACTTTTCGATTGTGATGGACTATTGTAGAAACGTTTATGTATGCCTTTGGAAACACATATTTATAAAAGCTGCACGGATTTATTATACAGAATGTAAAATAAATATTTACGATGTAGCAGTAAAATATTTTTTATTTCACTTTGAAACAAACAAATATTAAAACTGAAAATATTTTGCAATATTTTGTCGTTACATATTAGAAGTAAAAGAAGCAGTTACACTTTTATTGACATTTATTTCGTAATTTCAATTTGTCCAAAATTTTGGCCAGAAGGGCGATGGTCCTATACTTCACTACTGCAGCAATAAATTTTACCTTGCAGTATGTACACCATGAAACAATTATTAAATAATATAGCGCACCATCAATTAGGGGAACTTTGCTACACGATGAAAATGTGAACTTGTGAACTTTCCATCGTATTATACATACGAACACTGTCGCAATTTTTGCGTCATGTTATACGGGAGTCTACTGTATTTTCTTTCTGCGTATTAACGATAAATTATGAATCAACGAACGATTTTTATCTTTGGCCATCTTGTGTATTATTTACATTTATAAATTTATGGAAATCGATAGGTGAGGCCTTGAATTTAATACTTTCCATACGGTATTATAAACAGCCTTATTGCAAAAGAAGAAGCATGCAATGGTAGATCTCTTTTAAACACCAAACGATATTTCTCAGTATTAACTATAAATTGCGCAGAAATAAACTGCAAATAGAACATACAGCACAAAATGACTTGATACAATTTTGGCAACTCTCCCCTAATAGTGAGAAAAGGTATCTAATCAAATTTCCATGTTATACCGATAAACGAAACGGATGTTTACCTTGGGGTGGTAGTTGTGGTTTGCCTACTGGGTGGGTGTTGACTTCTGGGCTGAGGAATGAAGGATAGTCCACTTTGAGGCGACTGTTGCTGACTTGGACTCGTGCTCCTGGAACTGCTTGCACTGCCTATACCACCGTTTCCGTGTTTCAAACCAACTGAAACAGGAAAATGAAAAATATGAAAATCGTGTTAGATTTAAATAAATCTGCTAAACGTCGCTAGAATAGAAGGGCGGTAATAGTATACAGGGTGAACAATGTAACTTGATCAAACTATTTCCGTTACTACTGGACCAACATAAATTCCTTTTTTTCTTCAAACATCTTACAAGGAATGTTCGCGAACGGTCCGGCTTCGATTTTGATGACACTCTGTACACTTATAAAGCAGCCAAAAATAATCGACACGTAGTTTTTTTTAGCTGCGGTAACTCGAGTTTAAGGGGTGAAACCACCCCTTGAAGTTTTGGCTCGAAACGGCTATCTCGAAAACGGAAAGACATACGAAAAAATTGTTAATGGGCGAGGTTAATGGTTTCTGATGTACAATAACATGGTGTTAAAAAATTTAACAAAATACAGTTTGTTTATAACAAAAAAAATTTATTAACTTAATTTTTCATTTTATTGAAATTTTCATAATGACAAAAAATGACGAGCATTTTATTCCAAATCCATTAGTATATTTTAAAATTGCCTCTTACAGTTTTGCAGATTTTCATGATTTACATCTTGCGCGCACATCCACTATGGTAGTAGCCGTTCTAACTTTCATTTTAATGAAGCATTGTAGGCTTGCACTAAATTATACTTATAATTGTTAGTTTAGAGCAGGCATGGGCAACCTTTCCTGGTTCTAGGGCCAAATTATCATCCTCTCTCCGAGTCAAACGGACTCATAAATACAACATAATGTTGTATGTGATTATGTGTTTCATACAACTTTAGCTAAATATTAGATAAAAAAGGCTAGCATATGTAGTATCGGGGCCTCCATACCCAAAAATAGTCGAGTGGTTGGCGTAGCGCGCAAAGCCTCGGCTTGCTAAGCCGAAGGACACGGGTTCGATTCCCGTTGGGTCCCTCACTATTTTTCCCTAGGTTCCTACAAATGGGGGCTCGTCCGGGATCGAGGCATCTACGAAGCCAGGCGCTGTGAGATGAAAACATCTCGAGGGTTGCACGTCTCCCAAAAATGCGTTGTTTTCTGCTCTTGTGCCACTGTGTGGGGGGAGTGTACCCGAAAAGTGTTGAGTTGTGTTGCACTGAGGACATTCGAGGGCGAATGTCAGTTCAGGATGGCCGAGTATAGTATCGGGGCCTCCATGCCCAAAAAATAGGAAACCGGCACGGGAGAATACAGAGGGAGTGGTTGGCGTAGCGCGCAAAGCCTCGGCTTGCTAAGTCGAAGGACACGGGTTCGATTCCCGTTGGGTCCCCTCAATACTTTTCCCTAGGTTCCTACATATATTAAATAAAATTATAAAATTTACCTAGAGGGCCGAATTCGAAGACACTTCGCGGGGACGGATCGCGGGCCGCGAGTTGCCCACATGTGGTTTAACACGTTCCGTGGGTCGCATACGCCCCACTCTGGTCTTTCCGTTCAGGCCATCTGATATTTCGGCCTTTTCCTTCCGCTAACTTAAACTATGCAACTACGGCGATAATTTGTTAAAACAGAAATTTTTCCTTTGCTCTATAGCGTATCTTAAACGTTACCTTTTTCTCGATAACAATGATTTTTGCAATCTTATAAATATTGGAAGACATATAGGGCGAAAAGCAAAACTGTTAGTCTCGACAATGTGGGACGCATACGGCCCACGCGGCGTGAACGGAAAGTCACCGAAAATCGGTCCGGCACGGAACGTGTTAAAGGGACCTACAGGCCGATTGCGGTATACGTTTTGTAGATCTTTTTTTCAAAGCTCTCAAGTTTAATTTCAGTTTTTTAAATGGACACTCTAAACTTTTCTCCGTCTACCTTTTAGTAGACAAAAAAATAAATACAGCAAGCACCGCGGCATACTTTTTTTGTTGTTAAAACAGGAGAAATGGTGGATGTGAAATACTCAAAAAAATAGATTTCGTTATGCCTGAGGATCGATTAATGCGAGGATCATTGGTCACTATTGCTAGACCTGTAAATCACCGTACATTCTTAAGAGTAAATACCGTGAAAAACGGAGAGGAATGTGTTCTCGATAAAGTAAAAAACAACAAACGACGACTTTTATCCAAGTGGTCAGTAAAACGATAAAGCTTCTTCTATTTCGCAAAGTGTCGTTTATAAAAGCAATGGCAACCTTTAAGCGAACGATCGACGATAAATGTGCGTAATTTATTCCATTTTTTCCTAGCGTATTCACACTGCCGTTAACCGCGTCTCAATAAAATGACGATCGGTTGGCTCATTAAGCAAGCACAGTCGCAATATTGTACCAGTTTGAATTCCTCGCCTGTGCCTGCGAAGTATATGCTGTTTACAGACAAAATAAACCACAGGCTGGCTATAGTACATGCTCGTGACAGCATGCATTTACCATGCAAAGAGATTAATCCACTACTCCTCGCTGCTCAATCTATTACTGCTATAATCGGAGACATTGTTTCCACCGAGCAATTTGTGTTATCACGAAAGAAAGTATAATGCGCTGATAATCATGTGCTAGAGTACATATATTTTATGACTTAATGGATGCGGAGAATATTCCAACTGCTGCATGTGAAAAGTTCAATCGAAGTATTTTCCCGGCGACATAATGAACAGACGTAATTGTGAACGTGGAAATTCTCAATGCTTTCGAGCCGTTACGCTAAACACATTTGTTCAGTACCGAGCCACCGACCCGTAAATTCCGATTTGTTTGAAACTTAGTGGGTTTGTAGGGGACCTCGAGAGAAGTATCGGGCAATTTTTGTTTCTGGTCCAATTTCGGTTGTTCGGGGTGAAAACAGCCCTTGAATGAAGATAAATGTGTTTATCTGCATTTACATATTTCACATATTTTTCGATATGACAGAAAATTCGAAATTTTTCACAGTAACGCTGGTGGAAGATTTCTTATTTAAACATTTAATAGCGCAGTCTTATAAGGCATAAGAAGCCATTAAATTTTTATTATAATCATTTTTTTATATCTACTATAGTTTCAAAGATGTACGGGGAAAT